AAGGAGAGAGATCCAGTTTTTATTTGATCCCTGTCTCAAGTATTTAAAGTTTGGCTTATCTGGGACAAATAATAACATTGAAACTTTTGTGGGTTCTGTAATGAGTTCCCTAAAGCTCCCTGAAATATCTTCAGGGAGATTTGAAGTCTATGCAAAACCTCATAATATTCTATTAAATAGCTATCAAAATTCCTAATGATAAGCAAACAAAATCCCTAGATCTCAAGTTACCCCAGGAAATAGGAGAAAGTGTCCTCCCTATTGACAATCTGTTCTTCAGTTATTGGAACTGTGTCCTGATGTGCATTCCAATACATAAGAAATGTGCTGTTACTTCCTTTAAGACAACTTGTGACAGAGCAAAAAGGTATTATTTTTCTACCCTTCTGTTAAGATTTGTTAATAAAAATTATAGAGGGGTGCAGGTTGAGCGTGATGTCTGGAGACATGTCATCTAACCTCCCCCTTGAAGCCACGTCGACTCGGATCAGGCTCCTAAAGGCCTTGGTCCAGTTCATTTGTTACTATGTAATAACCTCTCTGGGCAGCTTGCTCTAGTGCTTGACTGGTGAATTATTACTTTTTTTTTTCATAACATGTAGTTAATAAATTATTCTGTTCCAACATATCTGTTGCAAATTCTACCACAGTGGTCCTGTAATAAGTGTCTTCTCTCTATCCAGCCAATAAATATTTGAGATGGCAGTAAGAGCTCCCTGTATCCATCTTCCTTACAGCTGAACAAACCGGGTCCACTGCTTTTCCTTGTATATCATGTGTTCCAGCCCCCTCACCATCTTGCTCACCCTCTGCTGGATTTGCTCCAGGATGTCAATGTCTGTGTTATATTAGAAACCCAAAACTGGACACACAACTCCAGATTGAATAGTGAAGGTGCAGCTAAGTATCAGTGTCAGCTGTCCTTGACAAGAGTCACATGGAGAAGATATGAAAACCAAATATTTTAAAATCTTATACTTTTAATTCTTTATTGTGAATTTAGAATAAAAGTTTAGATATTTTATTAGCAATTAATTTATATTTTGAGCTTTTTATGTATGAGGAATCTTCCTCCCAGTCATCCTCTTCTTTTCAAGGAATTTGAATTTGTTGTTTTATCAAAGCAAATAATCCATAACAAATTCTTGACGTAAAATCCCTACTTATGTGGGTTTTTGAAATTTACTTGTATTTTCTTGCTGCAAAGATTAAGCTAACATATGCAGGTATGAATGTTCTTATGGGGATTTTGAAAAAAACCCAAACACTTAAATAATTAAACTGTCCGAACTCTAAACACCTTATCTTTTCAGCTTATGTTTTAACTTAAAATTGTAAGGCCATTTATTTTTGAACACACTGGAAAACCTATTTTCATCTAAGATACACAATGATGCAACTTCCTTTGTAAACTTAGTGAAGACAATGTGGTCATTGTGTATGTGGAAAAACTTCAGTGTAATCTGCAGAATAAAGCTGCTTTCTTTTAGACTATAATTACAAAAATATTAAGAATTCCTATCTATGTATTATTTCCAGGAAAATAGCTTTGATTTTGATGCGTCATTTATTCAGTTCTCCTGTGTGTTACTGAAACCAGTATAAAAACAAGCTATATAACCTAAACTAACTGGTATTTCTGTAATGCCTTTCTTTTTCCAAAGGTAAGAGCCTTCACAGATTGCAGTTATTAAAAATTAGGTGTGTTCTAGCCTTTCACACACTGAAAATATTCACTGAATTGGGGTCAAGGTTTGGGGGTTGGGGGTTGTGTTTCTTTCTCCTTTCTATCTCACTGAAGAGACTGAAAACATAGTGCCTCTCTCCCACTCCTTCTCTGTGGTTCAAGAAGCTTAATATTGCCTTTGTTTTGAGAACTGAAAGGAAAAAAATTAAGTCTTTTTTTCCCTTTGGGACTATTTCTTCCTGTTTCATCCTCTGATTTTACTTTTTAGTTTTGAGGGAGTCTGGGTTTTTTCAAGTCTGTTTAGGCAATATATCGGGAATCTCCGGTCCCTGAAAAGCTATTGGCAACAAGGGAAAGTTGATGATGTCTCGGTAGTTTCTACTGACAGCAGCAGGAGTCACTGTAGAGGCTCTCTAATGTTCCATCCCCTGACCTTGCTCATGTAAACAGGATTTGGAGGAAGCAAAGCAATGTACTGTAATCTGGAAGTCAGAATGTCTGCGCTGGCTGAGAGATGTTTGCTGCTCTTTGTCTTCCAGTGCTAGTTACCACTGAAAACATGACATGTTTATTGTTCATTTACAGTAGGATTTCTATAAAGTTAAGACTGGATTAAATATTGGAAGGGAGGAGATAAGGATTGTTCCTGTTTGCAGCAAAAAGAGCATAGTGTTTTGAAATAGAAACTGACCAAATAAATGCCACCCCTCCAACTTGTAAAATATGTGAAAGCAAATAAGAGCATGTGCCACTTCTATTCCTCAAGGAAAGATGTTGTTAGTTTGTCTGTACTACGTTTGCAGTAGGTGTCTTGATGCAAAAAAGTAGAAGTATCTGTACTTTCAATTTATCCTATACACATTGC